TACTTTTACATTTATATAACTACCCACTTACAGTCCCACCCCCATCACCCCATTCTCCTCCATTTTTAGACAATGGCCGCCACCACAGCCGCCGTTACCTCCCATTTTTTTGGACCCCAACTCCGAAACCCAGAGCCCAGTTTCGGATGCTTCCAAACCCGTCTTGGCGGCTTTTGAGGCTTCAGCTTCGGCAACAAGAAGTCACCACCACCTGCACCACCAAAGCAAAAGCAAAAAAAGTTCGACGACGGTGAACGACCCGTATGGTTTCGGTTGCCGAGCTGCCAAAGTGGCTTGACGAGTCGCTTCCCGGGGACCGCGGCTTTGACCCCTTTGGGTTGGGGAACCCCGCCGAGTACTTGCAGTTTGATTACGACAGGCTCGACCAGAACCTTGCCAAGAATGTGGCGGGCGACATCATCGGGACAAGGATCGAAACTGCAGAGGTGAATCCGAAGCCGCTTCAGCCGTACACGGAGGTTTTTGGGCTGCAGAGGTTCAGGGAGTGCGAGCTGATACACGGGAGGTAGGCCATGCTGGGAGCGCTTGGTGCTCTTGCTGTTGAGGGACTCACTGGTGTTGCATGGCAAGACTCCGGAAAGGTAAATTAAGTTTTAATTAATTAATCGAAAAGAATCTGAATCCTGAAATCCATCAATCATGTCTGTTCATAATAATCTAATGTAATTTACTTGACTTTTCCATCAACTATAAAGTCTAGATTTTAGTAATTCAAAATGTTGTTATAAGAAAATAAAATTCGATATAAAATGTATGGTTTCATTTTTTAGTAAACACCAAGCAATAAATAGTTAATGAAAAAATATCAGTATAGTTAAGAGTGGGTCAATCACAGAAGATGTGCATGTGGTCATTGAAGCTTTTTCTTTTCTTGTTTTTTATGGTGACATGGAAATATATATATATTTTTATTTGTATTTATGACATATAGGCCGTATCTCGTATTTTGTAAGTATTATATAAGGAGCTGGGTATACATATATATTTGGCACAACTTTTTGCCCCTCATGCCTAGGGGTGGACAAACAGATAGAGGAACCGCAGATCAGGACGGGTATAGGCCGATTCCATATACTTAGAAAAAGGGGCATTGGACCGATTCGTTTCTAATTATAATGAACAGCCGAGATTGAATGAGAACCTATCATCAAATCTCAACAGTTAGTTTCTACCCTAGTTATCCTCCCGAGTCCAGTTTCCAAAATCAGTCACTCTCTCCTCTTTTTCCCTCTCCTCCATCTTTCCTTTTTTGCCCTACCTGATGGGGTTTCCATGTCCGTATAGCTCCAACCTCTCATGAATCAGTGCCTTCAACCTTTACTAATCGTTGTTGCAGCCTTCATCGTTTATGGGTCTCTCTCTTTTGCTCTCTTTCGAGGGTTTTTTGGGGGAAAGCTTTGCACTTTCGACCTCCCGAAGGTTTTTGAGTTACACCCATGACAAAGCTACTAAGTTTCTTCGGCAAGTCTTGAGATTTTTCATGTTTTTTTTTTGTTTGTTAAATTTATTGTTTTTGGGCTTAAATGGTTGCCCGCTTGTTTGGAATTTGTGATTTGAATGATGTTTGGCTGTTAAATTTGTACATCATAGAAGGAAGAGGAAAGCATAGGAGAATTGATTGAAATTGGTTAGATTCAGAAACCCTAAGGTATTCCCTTTCTTTTATTCTTTGAATTCATAGCCGATGAGAAGGCAAAATGGATCTGTGGGTTTGTATGAAAGAGTTATGTGAAAACCCTAATCTAATCCCTAATTTGCCTTGAGAGTGCAGATCGTGTAGTGGTTGTTTTGATGGAACCGCCGATAACGATGTTGTTCGAAGAAGCAAATCTTCAAATGAGTAGAATGAAGAGGATGACGAAGACCAGACTTGAGGTGCGAGTGAAGATTTGGACCCATGGGGACCCATAGGAACCGGTCTGTTTCAAAAGGGTAAGGTTAGGTCCGGATCCCATTTTAAAAAATTCAAAACCCGCCCCGTTTTATTTACCAACGGATTTGATCCGGTTCCTTCAATTTTGGGCCTGACTCAACCGTGCCCACCCCTAATCGTGCATTCTTATAATCCATGCAAAAAAACATGATGGTCCTAACTATTATGGTAAGGTCCTTATTGACGATGAATGTGATGATAGAGATGATGAAAATGATAGCTACACCATGCCAAATCCTAATTTTGTTATGTACATCTCACAATAATTTACTTAAACTTATTAAGCGGACACAAATCCACTCTGTATCTCACTGTGAGTTTAAGGATTAGGCAACTTGGAACACTTAAATTGAATCCGACGATCTCTATTAACGGATTCAGTTGGCTTATCTCACACAAACCAAGAACTCCAATTTACACAAACCAAGGACTCGAATTTCCTGATCCTTGGGCTCCGGACACTAAAGACTGGAGAGGATCCAAATTCCTATTAAGGCTCATATTATGAGAAAAGTTTGCCCTACAACTAGAGATTTATCTTCTTATGTCTATAACACTCAACTTTAACGGTTAACTTGGTTACTAATCTCTTTTAATTGACTCAGGTTGAGTTGATCGAAGGATCGTCCTACCTAGATCTTCCACTTCCCTTCTCCATCATCACATTGATATGGATCGAGGTGTTGGTGATTGACTACATTGAGTTCCAGAGGAATGCCGAGCTTGACCCGGAGAAGAGGCTGTACCCGGGTGGTGGCAAGTTCTTTGACCCGTTGGGTTTGGCCGCCGCCGGATGAGTTTGAAAGGCTTCAACTGGCTGAGATCAAGCATGCTCGTCTTCCTCCTTTTTGGAATCCAAACTGCTGTCACAGGAAAGGGTCCTATCAGTTTTCTGCTTACATTTAACAGATAAGATAATTAAATAAATCCACTTCAACAGAAAGTCAAGTTAATTTCATTCATTCTCTTCCTCTCTAGCCAAGAACCCAAGACCAAGACTGAGAGTACACTTATATTATATATGCTCACATGTTTAATGCTATATTTATGTGTATTGTGCTATGATTTTGTATACTTGTAAACTCATTATGCTTTGATGTGTTAAATGTGTTTAAAAATGTATAACTATGAAACAAAAACAAATAAGTGGATTGTCATTCTTTACGAGCAGCTTTGTGAATAATTTATCAATAGAAAAAAGGAAAACGAAGAAAACGTCTTACATTAGGTTGCAACCAACTTGGATCCTTGTATCAATGTTCAGATCTGAATTCCCCTTTCAGTAATTTTGATTAGTTTAGAATTTTGTTCAAATAAAAAAAAGTTTGACATGTGTGAACAAACTTTGCAATATATGTGAAGCTATCTACGTAAAACATTTTAACATGTGAGAAACTATCTACTTATTAGCAAGTAGCTTTTCAGTAAAATCTTAGTGCGGCATTATTTACCCTAAATAAGGGCCAAACAAATCGATGAGCATATTTTGGACAATGTGTTCAAAGAGTTGTATACTTCTGTTAGTTCAAGAACTAGTGGACTTTATTTTTTGTTCAATGAAGTTGTGGAGTTATAGGGAATTGAGATCCTCTCCAAATTTTTGTTTCACAACCCGCAGAACGAAATATTTGACTTGCTCAATTTTAATTCTATTGTCCTATTAGTTCATACTATTAGCTCAACTCACACAAATCAAGAGTTCTGATCTCTCTATCTCACTCTTCAACAATTTGAATCTCCAAATTCTTCAACTCCAAACATAAAAATTCGAAGAGGGTCTCGGTTCAACTTCAAGACCTATTTCAGCCTCCCTTGTATCACCTGAACTTCAATCATTGGCACAGTGTATTCACGTATGCGATATAAACAAATGAAGTGGTTAAGATTTGGCCATTTATATAAGAAATTGCTTTGCAATTTCAGCGGGCACTAGCTGACTAAAACATCTTATCAGCACAGAGTATAATAAAATGCCCAACTTAAGGGTGTCTTTTACATACTCACATCCCACCCACCCTCTCTAGATCTCCAATAATTGCAGATAAATTGAAAAAGGAAAGTAGTACCATCCACACATTTTTTAAATTTTTTTACATATATATTTTTTATTTTTAATTATCGAATTAAATGAATTGAAAAGATAAAATAACATAAAATAAAAGAGTGTAAAAAAAAAAAAAGCGTGTGGAGAATACTGTCCAAAAGAAAAATTGATAAAAATGAAAACTAATGAAAATGACTTAAAAATTTTGAGTTTTAACGAAAATGACAAAATAAATGGTAAAGTGAATAATATCATGATTGATTTTTTTAGTGTAAAAATACGAATTTTCGTTAAAATAAACAGTACCAAAAGATTTTCGTTAAAGTTCCCTTGATAAAATGGTCGTCCAAGATTGATTCCATTACCTTTGGAATTTTGCAATCCACACTCAACATATTCGCATCTTAACCCTTCAACTTATTCTTTACTCCGACTAGCTAAATAAAACTACCCAGGATATATTTTGACAAATATATCGTGAGTCAAATCTTTGGTATATAATATAGGTATAGCACCAATTTCAAACTGTCGAGTTCTAAATGGACTTCGAGAGGTTGCAATACGTTTCTATCTAAAAAAAGTTGGATACACCTAATTTTCGTAATGTGTAGGTAGATCAGAAGTTCAAATCTCATAAACAATAACTGTTCATATAAAAATCGTAAAAAGTCAAAACTTTGTTATCAAAATCTAGCGTCAATCAGAAAAGTTCAATGACAAGCCAAACCTCACAAATTTTTTTCTTTGAAGGTTGGGATCAGATCGATTAAAACCCTTGACCTTGAATTTTGCCCTAAAACGTTCCCAACAAAAACCATATGGAAGGTGCCGTATTTTCTTTTGCACTTAAATTCGAATTTCCGTCTTTTCCTGAAAAGAAAACCATACATAATACCTGGGTAGATTTAAATTTGAGTAAAGTATAAAACAGAGGTTTGCAAAAACAAACAATAACTATGAAAATAAGAAAATATTTTTAAGATTAAACAAAAAATAATTGAATATTTTATGTTGTAAAGGGCAAAAACCGTAGATTTCACGTCTTGTCAGGTTCCACTTTAACATAAAAAGTGATTTAATTGTGGGAAGGTGAAATGTGATAGCTTTCCTTTCCCCGTCCGCATTTCTTGCAAGAACAGAGACTTCACCAGGCAAAGGTAAAATATAATCATCCAGAAATTCTTTCTCTCTTTCTTTTCTTGCATCTGCGGTTTCCTTCCTCAATTGGGTTTCCTTTTTCCCATATTTTTCTGTCTCAGTTGATTCATTTCTTAAAAAATCAATCTTCTTCTGGGTTTTCTTCGATATTAACGACGACCCATTTCCCTGAATCTTCATCTTGTTTTGGGATTTGGGCGGTTAGAGGATTTTTCTGGGCGTGCGGTGGAGGCATGGGGAGGCTGTTTGTGGTGAGTCTAGAGGGGAAGATCTACAGCTGCAAGCACTGCCGCACCCATCTTGCTCTTTGTGATGACGTAGTTTCCAAGGTGGTTAATTTGATCTTTTACAATCTTTTAATCAGTAGCAATTTATTATATTTTTTTGTGATTTTCTGCTGAATTTTTCATCCGGGTTTTGATTAATTGTTTTATTTTTATTTTTATTTTTTAATTTTTAATTTTTTATCTTGTGAGATGATGTGCATGTTCTTTGACGGTGTGATTAGTCAACTGTATTACTTGGTCTGCTTTTGTGATTTTTGTTTCGTTACTTTGGGAAGTTTTGTTTTTGTTGGACTTGAAATGTAAAGCAACATTTATCATTTATGTAAAGTAACTTGTAAGGAGGGTAAATTTTGGTGCTTGATGATATTATTAGCAGAAGATCTGATTAAGTATCTCGTAGTTTCTTAGGGTGTCGGTTGAAGTATATGGATTGATGATAAGGGATGTTATTGAAGGCATTTGGATCCTATATCATAAGCTGGAACTTGTATCCAGGACCAACATGATGTTGCATTTTATCTTTTCTCTTGCGGCCGGGAGTGCCGGAAGAACTTGGCTCTAGTTTTTAGTGAAGAGGACAGCTAGAACTCAATCGAAGCCTTGTTCCTCTTTTCAACTGAGAGAGGACATGGTGGTGTATGCTTTCATAGTTTTCATTGTTCATTGCTTTCAAATGCGTCTTTACGTCCATGTGCACAACTACTTTTCGAAGCATTTGGCCGTGAATGAGTGGATCTGTATTGTCTCAAGTAATAATGTAAGAGAACATAGCGCTGTTATTAGAATGAACTGACAGATGGTTATAGTCTGTGCTGTCTTTGAAGTTTTGACGACAACGTATAAAACAACGATGATTATTAGAATACATGTTGGTAATAGTTTGGTATAAACTAAGGCTTGTTCTGTTCTTCTTTGTTGTGATTGCCCTTATTTTCCCATTTCATTTGGCGTCAAATAACTCTTGGTTGGTAATTTCAAATTTGAATACAAGTGCATTTTCTGACTACATGTTTTGCCTGTGTTTCGTTCAGTCTTTTTACTGCAGGCATGGGAAGGCTTATCTCTTCAGTAAGGTGTAAGTTTTTCTTAATATTTGGACACCTTTACCATGTCTGATATGGAAATTACAGGCAAGATGTTGAAATAGTGAAACATTTATTGATTGCATGTGCGATTTGTTGATCATATGATACCGGTCTATTTCCGTTTCATTGAAAATCTGCTTTCTTTTCTTGTATTTATATACAACGAGAGAATTGCCGCCAACAGTTTCCAGCGCTCAGTCTGTGAGTTTTACTTTTCATTTGTAGTCTGTCAAAATATTTCTCAACATAGCTGAAAGTATGGAAGGTGCGGGATAATGCAGTCTAAAATGCTTGTATGCAAGCTCATTCAACGAAATTTGTCATTGAACGGTATATGCTTGCAGTTAGTTGGTTTTAGATCAATGTTTTAAAAGAATCGCCTCAGGGCGCGCCTAGGCGCCCTATGAGGCTGGGCTTGAGGGTTGCCGCCTCTGTTTTCAGGGAGTGGGCGGAAGGCGCCGGAAGGCGTCGCCAGAGCCGCCTAGGTGCGCCTCAAGGGATTTTTTTTATTTTTTATTTTTTGTTATACTCCCAAACCCAAATTTTGGGTAGGGTTTTAACTACCTCATACATCTTCCTTGCACTATCATCTCTCTGCCTTGTTTTCTAATTTTTATTTTTTATATAATGGATGTGTGTGCCGTTTACGTGCATTGTTATATGTGTGCTCATTGTGCTTTTCATCCTCTATTTTATATATAATATAATATATGTATATATATGTGTGTGTATATGTATTTATAATATATGTGTGTGCTCAGGATGATTATTGATTAATAATCTTCTTCTTTTTTAATATAATTTATGTGTACGGTGTATATATTAAAAAATTAAGTCCTGTGAGGCTTTGACTCACGCCTAGGCTGGGCTATCCCTCGGACGCCACGCCCACGCCTCACGCTTTTAATACATTGTTTTAGATATATGATTCGTGTGTCCAATCATATTACAGAGTGAATGTATATTCCGGGGAGTGTGAAGATAGAGCAATGATGACCGGACTGCACACAGTTGCTGACATTTTCTGCGTTGGGTGTGGATCGATAGTGGGGTGGAAATATGTAAGATCACGAGCCATGATTAGAACTATCAGGATTTATACATTTCTTTCTCTGCCGTTATTCATTTTGATGGTTTCTTTCAGGAGACTGCCCACGAAAAGGGCCAGAAGTACAAGGAAGGAAAATCCGTACTCGAGAGGTCAGTAGACATGCGGAGAAAGAAAATTTAACATTCTAATCTAATCCGAGTTTTGTGAAAATAAGGTTGTGAGTTTCATTCTTGAGCAGGATTAAGGTGTCGGGTCCGGAAGGAAGAACTTTTTGGGCCAGTCATGAAGCGCAAGTCGGTAGCAGCGATGCAGACGAAGGTTGATCGGTTCCCCGTTCGTACTCAATTGTACATTCTTCAAATCTCATTGTTCTTCTTCCACTCATGTGAATTACTAAGCTCTTGATTCCTCAATTTAGGCAACTATCTGCACTTGCCTGCAATAACAAAATTGTAAAACATTCGATTCTGTTCAAATTTGATCATGTTGTATGTAACCTCTCTTCAAATGCAATCTCTAGTTCAATTAAATTCCCACTTGCCTCACCGTCGTAATTGATCGAAAATAGATTTGCTTATAAAGCTTGTGACAGAGGCGTTCTTAGCTAACATCGGAGTAATCTCATTATATCTATTTCTCTCATCAGGTTACGAGACAGATTTTCTTGTGATGAGTACGGGCTGTATGAATCATGATTATGGTTGATTCTGTTTGATTTCCTAATTTGGGAATATTCTCATCTTATTTTCTTAGATTTATTTTAGTTAATTGTACCAATACCGTGCACGTCAAGAAACAGTAGCAAAAATAAACTGACTCGAACATCTTCATGCGCCGAAATTAATCCGTTCAATCTGGCGGGAAACAACAGTTTTGCTGACGTTGAAATATCCTTTCAATCATACAAAGGGCCCCGCCGCAGGTAATTAAGCACCGACCTTCTTCTTTTTCTTTTATTTATTTAAGTTTTGTTTATGGTAGGAAAAAAGAAATTTCTGGGAAACAGCTGCCAATAATTCCGCAAAAACAGCTTACCAATGATTCGGTGGATACTTTCCTCTCTAAAGAATGAGAAAGAGTTATTACTCAATATTATTCGTTGCTGGATTACTATGCAAAGATTGTCTTTGTAAAAAATAAATTAAAATTAAGATTGTTTAGTTATCTAACCGTATAAAAACAGAGGAACATATTTGGTAAAAATATTACTTACCGTCTATGTAGTTGCTATAATAGATTGGTTGAACGACTCCAGTTTTAATTCATTTTTTGCATAAATAACTTTATAGAATAATTTATAATATGAACAGTTCTAATCATAAAGATAAAACTCAATGATTTGAACGCGAAGAGGTTTGAGTGGAAGTTTCTATTCATCCTTGAGTCGCAACTGTTCTAATTTAATAGTCTACGTAATGGTGGCGACAAAATTAGTCTGATATTACATAAAATATAAAATGGGTAAATCCAAGCTTAATTGTGCATTTGGGCAACTCTGATAAATTTACCACTTCATATAGATATAACTTGACATCAAGAAAAAACATGCAAACTGCAAGATGAATCCGGGGAAGGAGTCTGTCGGATATTGAACACAGGCGATTCGAACAGCAAACAAGCGTCCGAACCAAACTATTCGACATTGGCTCTCGGGTTTAGCCCCGGCTAAAATGACCAGGCGTTGTTGATTCAGGCAGAAAAGCCGGCTCCAACCGCAATGTATAAATCTTTCACTTCTGATGAAATCCATCGAAGAGTCCTGAGAACAGCCAAATTACTCGAGCGAATAAACCATTTGCTCACCTAGCTCTTTGCCTACAACCCTCGTATATCTATGCAGCTGTAGCTCCAAGTAACTCCGTTCTGAGGCGCCAAAAGCGAACATTATATCCTTCAAGAGAAACCAGTGTAATAAGTAAATGAATGCACAATAAGGGGTTGGAATTTGGGTGGGGAGGTTTCAGTAGTTTTAAATCAGGTATATGAAAATTCTATGAAGCTTGAGTATACATACCTTGAATCTCACACGAGATCCCTTCAACCCGATTAAAATGTTACCAACATCTCCATCTTCTACATCGGCAGACACCAGATTTTGTTCGTTGTCTGAGCTTTCATATTCAGAGTCAATCGCTCCTCCATCGTCGTACATAAGAAAATCATTAGTGTCTTCTTTCCCAATGTCATCATGTTGCACTTCCATGTCTTCTTCAGAAACATGAGGTTGCAAGGACGCTTTATCTTGCGGAATGGAAACATCAGATAGAACAGCATACCGTTTTTTATCAAGCAAAGGTTTGGCAACATCAAAAGGAACCCACCTGGTGTTAAAATTTCAGTTTGTCAGCCACCGAAAAATTTGGATATCAGGGCACGAGAAGATTTTCTTAATTAATATGAAAAGTAATGATTTCCATTGGTTATGTAGATAAAGTAGATATATTGGTCTGATATGAAAAATTCAGCTTGCATGTGTGTCATTATCAAGCAAAGGGAAACTTACTGGTAACGTAGAGGACTGATGTATAAAGAACAATTTTCAACCTAAGTAGTAACTTGAAACTATTAACAGCTTTCCACGGTCAGCTGGTGCAAGCAAAAGGGAACTTACTGGTAACGTAGAGGACAGAGTAGCTCAGACGGGCAATATGCTGCTTTGTATCTCATCTTACTACAAGAGTGAATGTAATAACCGAGATAATAATACTGAAGAGTGGTGCAATGGGCTTGATTTTCTTTCACCCAATTTATTTCTTGTAGTGCTGAATACTTTCCAGGTGATAGGAAGGCAAAATCTGGGTCCCAAAATAAGTATTTACTTGACAAACATCTAGGGAGGATATCTATAACACCGACTGCAATAAGTTTGCCATCAATCACATATTGCTGATGGAAAGAACCAAAGCCACAAGGTGGAACTGTACCATCACCTTTTGGAGGAACATAATTTAAGGGAGTATCAACCAGGAACCTCCTATATGAGCTTTCCGTAACATGTTCAGGGGTATCATTATGCACTGCTATTTGATACCGTCTATACAAAGCATACTCTTCTGAATCAAAACTGGACCTTTTCAAATGAATCTCAAGCCTCCGCCTCTTTACTGGAGTATATTGAGAGATATTTTTCACACTGCACTCTTTACTTTCAGACCTAGCAGCAGATCCTTTAGCGACGCTAACAGTTTGAGCACTTTGACATGAGGAAGCTTGTTTTGTGGCAGAATAAAAATTTAAATGTCCATTACAAGCCCTGACTAACAGACCAGATGTCTTTGCCAATTGATTCAAGGAACTCTCTAGCTTTTCAGCAATAAGTTTTGGAGATGGCCCCTTTTCATCTGTAATATTCGTCAATAATCTTCCCTGGTGGGCATCCTTCTCACCTGGTAACGACTTCCTTATAGTAGCCGCTATTTGGAATGCAATATTGCTCGAGTATAAGAGATCTTCTGATCCTTCAACCAATAGCTTTCTTTTGGCTTGTAAAACCTTTTTAACAGAAACTTTTGGAAATTGAATGTCAGGAAATTCCCCACTTTCAGAGCAACTACGAACAGAATTTTCAACTTGATCTGATAAGAAATGCAAAATATTTTCTTCCCCACCCTTCTCTTCATTGTTATTGGAACAGGATTCTTTCGCGGCTGAGCTTGAAACTTCAAGATGCGTATGGCTGCATGTGTCCTTAGAAGCATTTGGATTCTCTATAGACTCCCCTGGTTTCTTACATTCCAAGGTACCTTCTAAGAACCTAGGCATAGATTATTTTCATTGATCAGGATAAAGTATAAAAAAAAAGGTCGTACCCAGTGCACAAGGCTCCCGCTTTACGCAGGGTCTGGGAGAGGTGAATGTCGGCTAGCCTTACCCCCATTTATCGAATTAAATGTATGTTTTGCTAGAACTTAATAATGATACAGAAGAAATCATAGTAAAATTACACCACTGATAACTGAAAGTAATCGACATCAATTAGCCCATGACCCACTCAAAAACCCTAGAAAATTGCATAATAGTTGTCCGACATTAGAATTTTCTTTAGAGCAGATTTTGTGCAGTAATAAATTTCCAACCTTGAAAGTGTCATGATACATCATCTTTGGTGGGGTTCTATATTATAAATAACTGATTAACTATACTAAATGTACCAAAAGAATTGTAATTCTCAATCTACAGACAACAATACTGTAAACTTTGTTTTTTAGGGAGAGGTGGGGGAATAAAAGGCAACATAACTATACCTTTGCATTCGTCTAGACACCCGTACTTGCTCTTTAGAAGGAACAAAATCATCTACTCTCAGACGAATAGTATAAGCAGGGCAGCATGTTCTTTCCATCTCAGGTTTGTAAAGAAAACAACCAGATCGTCTCCAACCGCGGTCAAGGAGATCTGAAAAGAAAAAAGAAATCAAGACAACATTGTAAGCAGTAAAATGGTATAACAAATTTGTCAAGAGTTCTTTATCATTTTTTTTCTGGGTCAAACGAGAGTGTTTTCTTATCGTGGTTACCGCTACAATAACAGTAGTATTGTTCACAAGATATAAAGGGAAGCCAATAAAAAGCAAACCTTGGTAGTCATTGATCGTAATGCTATGTGCCCACAAACCTGAAAAAATCGAAGACAAGTTAAGAATGTAATCAGACATTAAATTTATCCCCAAAAGGGCAAAAGAAGTTTTAACACGGGTGACGGCAAACAGAGCTATAGTTAGCAACTTAGAATTGGCCTAACATCCCAACTCTCAAACCCAAAAATTTGCATACAACAAATTCTTGTGATAAAATTTCTGTCCAAATTCGAATCGCTTAGAAACCTCATAACTAACTTGCAAATTGATCACAGTAACTTTTATTCATGGAATTAAACACAATGATTCCAATCTACAAAATTTTGGATAATTAGCAACGATTTGGGAACAAACAAACAACTATACGGAGAAAACCATTTTCAAAGGCTCAAGTTTTCCAAGGGCTCCATCAATCACACAATCAAATTCCTAAACTTGTTCTAAATCTAATTAGCAAGACAAATCAACCAAATTACGAGCTTAAAACCAAACAAATTTTAGAGAGCGAGGGAGTTGATGAGAGAAACGGACCGTGAGAGATACTGGTGCGAGCACCGGATTTGCAATAGCCGCAGGAGCTTTTGTTTTTGCCGTAGTCCACCACCACGCTTTCTCCTCTGTGGTTACTACTGCCGCCGCCGCTACTGCTCGCCTCGCCCTTCTTCATCTTCCCAGCCATTTTCCGATTCGATCCTCTCTCTCCGCTCAGCTCCGCCTCTGCATCGGACGTTCTGGACCGCGTTTTAGCTTCCAAACGACGTCGTGGCGCCCAATAACCAGCCGTACGACGACCCTCCCTCTTTCTCTATTGATCTCCTCGGCCGATTTTCAGTACTTAATTGTTTAATTCATTTGTGCATCTGACTTTTTTTAATATATGGTTGAGAAAAATGAATAACCAGCAAAAATAAATAAATGGAGTATTATATGGTTATACAGACAAATTAGAAGTTTACGGTGTACATTATTAGCTTCTTGTTACGCGCTCAGACATGTTATTGTCAATATATAATTTTGAGATTTGAAACTTTGTCGTCTTATTTGTCATATTTTTAGTAAATGATCTGAAATATAATTGATTTTTTATTCAACTTACCTTGAACATTTTACATGAGAGAAACTAGGCAAAATTAAGAGAGCTAGTTACACCTCTTATATAATCTCAATTTAAATTTGAAGACTTTACTAATTAATTAGTCCTTGGTCAACCCTTACCTCTTATACAATCTCAGTTATGAGAAAAATAACTTAAAAAGAAAGATATTATTTCTAATACTCTGATCGAGAAATAAAATAACGTAATTAAGACTCATAACTATATGTAATTTAATTTAGAGATTTTAAAAAAGACACTGCTATTGCACATTAGAGAAAAAAGAAAACCTCTCAATTTAAGTAATGTGAGTATTGAGATTTCTATAATTACAATAGGGGGTTAAAATAATTACAATAGGGGGTTAACCCTAATCAAGGAGGAATTCTTAAATTCAAAACGATTAGGTCACCGGTACAACCAAATACTCAAAGCTACAATATAGAGGTGTCAGACGAGAACTTAAATTGACTTGGTAGATCGCTGTGGTAACATCTCAATTCAGTAACATAATATAACATTATGTTTGGATGATGAAATTTAGGATTATTAAAGAATTTTAAAATGACGGAAATTGAAATGACAATATTTTATTTTCAAGAATTTGTAAATTTTCTTGTTTGGTTAATCTAAAAGAACAATGGAATTGAACACTGAATTTGTTATTTTTAAACTCTAAATCATAGAAATTGAGAAATAACACATATTTACATGGAATTTGAACTTGGGAATTGAAGGTCTCAAATTTAAGTTTTTTTTCCACGCAGAAATTCTAAATTTCCATGTTTATGAATCCAAACAATAGAATTTGTGCATGTTAATTTATAAATTATAACTTTTACCAAAATTTCAAGTTTATTTCCCTCATCCAAACATAGTGTAATTGAATGAAAACTAACAGGTGGCTTTGTATTATTAAGTCGAAGTTACTCTCGTACGATTCACGGGACAAGAAAACAAAACAATATACATCACAAAACCAAGAAAATCTTCGAAACCATACATCAGAATTACACAAAAATACATGGGCTTAAACTGCAAATACAATACTTCAAAATTCAAAAACAAAAAATAAATAAGTTAAAAAAAGGGCATTATCGTGATTATATCCCCACCAAAACCCACGACCTGGAAAACGTAGGCTTTAAGTGAGAGAAACAACAAAACCTGCACAGTACGCACCTCCGTTCATTTTCCCAATTTCGGACTCCAAATTTCTCCTAAATTACCATTCAATGCCACTCCTCCTCTTCCCCCTCACTCTCTCTCTCCATCTCCACTGTGAAATCTCCGATCTTCCGAGCTTTCTCACTGCAACTCACGCTCGCTTCCTCCGCCTCTCGAGCTCAGCTCCGCAATAATGGCGGTTCCTCCGAGCTCAATCTCTCTTCTCGTCTAGTTTTCAACGCACTTGGGAGCTCAGTTCCTTAATGGCGGTTCCATACCTCTGAGGACTCTCCAAGCTTTCATCTTTCTAAGTGCTCTCACACTCCTACGCAGCACTTCACGATTGGTAGAAAACGGAGCCGAAATGCCGACTCGTAGCCGTCGAATTTGTGCACCGATTGGCCGTCGGTTTCAGATCTATCGGTAGCTGAGCTTCGTTTCGGCGACGACTGCGACGCAGTGGTGGTTGGAAATTAGGTTTTAGATATTTTATTTCATTTACTATCGGTGGACTTAGCGTTTATGGCGATGAATCGGAGTTTTAGGGCTCAGGACTCGCAAATGCAAGCGATGATTAAGCAGAGGCAGCAGCTCAGAGCCTCTGTGAGGAAGGAGAAGGAAGAAGAGCTCGCTTTGTTCCTAGAGATGAAGAAGCGCGAGAAGGAACGGAACGATCTTCTTCTTAACAGCTCTGAAGAGTTCGATGCACCATTAGGTATACTTTTTGTGCCTAAATTTATTAGGTTTTCGTGTGCAATGTAGAGGCTTTCACATTTCGATTTTGTGAATCAGTAATGTGCTTTTTGGTTTGAATTGATGCTTAAATAGTCTGTACTGATTGTAGATTAAATTTTGTTTGGAAATGTTTCGCATTTTCGGCTTTGATATTGATTACTAAGGTTGCTTCTGATATGGTAACTTTGACATTGCAGGGACGAAACCCGGAACTTCTCCCATTTTCAATATTTCCTCATCAACGCCGGCACCTCCACGCAAGACCGGTGCTGATGATTTTCTCAATTCTGAGAATGACAAGAATGATTATGATTGGTAATGCCATAATCTGTTTTCCTTTTCTAGAACATAGAAGTTATTTGTTAGCTGAGTTCTGATGGGATAATAAAGAAGCAGAATAGGCCATACCTTTTTTTAACTTCTATGGTTTGTATGCTTACGATTCTGAAATTTTTCCCTCTGTTATGGAACTTTTATATCAGGTTTACCATATCCTTTATAGGATGTTTGAAGATTTTGTTTCAATTACGCGTATCATATGAAATATTTTGGATTGCAAAGTTTCTGGATAGAGTCAGCAGTATAATAATACACTGGTGATATAGTCCGTGGATGCATTTCTGCTGATTACATGCCTAATGTGAGGTCTGTTGGGGTGGCCTAAACGTGCTGTGTTCCTGTAGGGGGAATAAATTTTTGACAAAGGAAAGCATGGCCATTGAAGTGTTTAACTAAAATAAGAAGTCTGTACAGCTTCTGTTCTTCAAATGCATATTAAATTTCAGTTTAGCAGTGTTACTATTAGGTAGAGATAAGTGTTCTAAGTCGGTATTATTATTTTATTCTTCTTTCAGGCTTTTAACTCCACCCGGGACTCCTCTTTTTCCTTCGTTGGAGATCGAATCGCATAAAACCGTAATGAGTCAACTTGGAACCCCAAAGGCTCGTCCCACCGCACTCAAATCTAGAGTAAGAATTTCCTTATCAACTGGGTTGCAGTTCTACATCTGAAGTGGTTGTAATTTATTTATAGCATGTGAAGGGGAGTTTAAGGCTCTGGAAGTTAGCATCCATCTTTAGTCCTTTTTAAAGCAGAAAAGTTGCAAAAGATATCCTTGGTATATGGCGCTTAATTTGTAGTTATATGAACATCTGAACTATTGACATTCATTCTCATCTCTCAAACTTTACGTTGCTTAACTTAGAAAGTGCATTTAAGAGAAAATTACATATCTAGCATCTAACTACTAGATTCAACAACTATTGAGTTTAGAATGTTGTAATTCATAGAATATGCCGCTTCTCTCGTTTATCAGTCTTTATAAAAGGGTAAATTTTGTGGTGGTTTTCAGTTTCTCATTTTTGAGTTCTAAATTCTAATTGTGCTTGAGTTTCATGTAGTATTACTTAGCCATTTCTTCATTGTGATCATAGTTAGCAAACCCCCAGCCGGAGCCTGCTGCTAGGACCAGCTTAGTGTCTAGACAATCAACTTCTTCCCCTGGGTTGAGTTCTTCAAATTCAGGGACCCGGAGGCCTTCATCGTCCGGGGGTCCAGGATCAAGACCTGCAACACCAAATGGATGCCCCACGTTGCCTTCAGCACCTAGACCTTCAAGATCGTCAACCCCTACTTCTCGATCAACCTTGCTGTTAAACAAGTCCATAAATTCTGCCCCTAAGTCTATGGTTCCCACAACTCGATCCACACTTCCTGCAAATAGATCGACAACTCCTGCAACTAAATCTACAGTTCCTTCAAGATCCTCTACACCATCAAGATCCTCTACACCATCAAGGTCTACAGCAAGATCTTCAACACCAACTTCCAGACCCACTGTACCCCCACCCAAGCCTGCATCAAGAGCATCAACACCAACTCGTCGACCGTCCATGCCATCCCCTACCCCTAGTGTATCAGCTCCTCTGTCAAAGTCCTCACCTTCAATTTCCAAGCCAGCTCCTGCAGCAGCAAGAAATCCAGTGCCATCACGTGGTGCATCCCCAACAGTAAAATCTAGACCATGGAAGCCCTCAGAAATGCCTGGTTTCTCACTCGAGGCCCCGCCAAATTTAAGGACAACACTTCCTGACAGACCACTTTCAGCCACTAGAGGTAGGCCTGGAGCACCCAGTTCTCGATCATCTTCCGTTGAGCCTGGTCCTAATGTAAGACCAAGACGGCAATCATGCTCTCCTTCAAGAGGACGGGCTCCCAATGGCATTAGTCATGCTAGTGGGAGCTCCGTTCCTGCATTCAGTCGTGGACATTCTAAAGTTAATGACAACGTGAGCCCTGTTTTAATGGGAACAAAAATGGTCGAGAGGGTAATAAATATGCGCAAACTGGCACCACCGAAGCAAGAGGACAAACATTCTCCTCATGGTAACCACTCCGGGAAGTCAGCTTCATCCCCAGACAGCTCAGGCTTTGGTAGATCACTTTCAAAGAAATCCCTTGATATGGCTATACGCCACATGGTAAGCATATCTTTCCATTTTATGAGTCAGTGTACATTCCCAGCGAATTGAGACTAGAACGCCTGTTCGTTGCAAAGTTGTGCATGCTATTTCTGTAGAAGTATCTCATATTCTCTGTTGTAGAAGATAGCTTTCCCTCATTCCCCCCCCCCCAGTGTGCTTGATAAGCAGTCAAAATTTACTTTTAATCTAGAGAAAATATTTGATACAAGTTTGTTGTACATAATTTTTTCTTGATTCGGTGTTGGTTGCAGGATATAAGGCGATCCATTCCAGGTAATTTAAGACCGTTGATGACAAATATTCCTGCATCCTCCATGTATAGTGTGAGATCGGGGCCTGCACGAAGCAGAACAATTAGTGTTTCAGATTCTCCTCTTGCCACTAGCAGTAATGCTAGTTCCGAAGTTAGCGTAAACAACAATGGCCTTTGTTTAGACGGGAGTGAAGTAGAAGATAATGGCAGTGAGAGAGGTGGTCGATCTCCTGCCAGTGTGCGCGGTAGGTAATGTTTTGGGGGAGCTGCCATCATTCCACATAAACTGCATCTCTAATCTACCACATGATTTTTCCATCTTCGGTTTCAACCATCTTGACAGTAAAAAAGAAAACCAATTTTCTGAGACCCCTGACTGGAATTGTGCCTCAGTGCTTCACGTAAAGTGTACCGAAATGCTGGTGGTGTTGTAATTCATGATATTTGTAATGTTAAGAAATCTGGTTATGTACCAAACAGCCTTTCGTGGCTCGCTTTCTACGGATACTTTGTTGAAAAACCAGAGATCATATTAGCCTCTCATCTTTGGCAAGTTGAATGTGTAGTTCTGGGAGCACCGTGAAAGCTGCTGTACTCATACCATGGGCTGTGTTGCAGGTGTTTTCAAGAGCTTAACTCACCTGCACATGTTTTTTTTTTTTTAATGAGTCAACGGTTGAGATTTTGATTAGTTAGATCTTCTCCGTTCACTAATGAAAAAGGAGACTGCATTTAGAACTAAATTATAAGACTGTTTTAGAAAGAGAGTTTTCTTCCTCCTCCGCTAAACCTTATTCATATATTTTATTTTTAATTTTTATAATCAACTTATATCACAGGTTAATTTATTTATTTACTTGTATGATAAGATTTTTTTTTTATAATCATGTATCACAAATTAATATGTCTTAATCTAACAAGGCTGTGATGTCTATTAATTCCCTAGTCTTAATCTAACAAGGCTGTGAGCCTGTGATGTCTATTAATTCCCTAATCTTAATCAAACAAGGCTGTGATCCAATTTTCCTCCAGAAACCAGCTGTGCTACCCAATTCGGACCCTGAAATAGACTCCATTCTTTGCGTCAACTAACAGTTACATAAATATCCAGAGCTTCATTTTGCAGCCTAGCTAAAATGGAGTTCTCAAGTATTCATATTAGCATTTGGTTTATTTTCATGCAACCACTCTTTCTTCTCTTTCTTTTTAGCTCTGCCTCCTCGCATTTAGCGGGAAACGAGGTGGATAGGCTTTCCTTGCTTGCCTTTAAAGCTGAAATCGTGAACGATACCTTGGGCATCCTTAGCTCTTGGAATGAATCGCTCCACTTCTGTCATTGGCCAGGCATCACTTGTGGCCGCAGACACCAGAGAGTTACAGTGCTCAACCTCCGATCAAGCGGGATGGCAGGCCACCTATCTCCCCACATTGGAAACTTGAGCTTTCTGCGGGCTTTATACCTCCATAACAATAGCTTTAGCCACACCATCCCTCCAGAAATTGGTCGTTTGTTCCGCTTGCAAAGACTACGCCTTGAAAACAACTCCTTCAGTGGTCATATTCCATTCAACATATCAAAGTGCTCTAACCTCCAATACCTTGACTTATATGGCAACACTCTTACTGGCGAACTTCCAACTGAAATTGCCTCATTGTCCAAGCTTCAGTTTCTTGATTTTGGCAAGAACAATTTTTACGGGAAAATCCCACCTTCTTTTGGGAATCTTTCTTCTCTTAGGTGGCTGTCCGCATATGGAAATAATCTGCATGGAGGTATTCCAAATAGCCTTGGCCAATTGAAAAGCTTAACGTATTTTACACTGGCTGTAAATTATTTGAATGGTACCATCTCTCCCTCTATATACAACCTCTCGTCAATTAAAGTCATTAAGATGCTTCAAAACAACCTTCATGGAACTCTTCCTCCTGGCTTGGGCCACACTATATTTCCAAACCTCAAAACCCTTGGTTTCCATACCAACCAATTCACCGGACCACTACCAGCTTCACTCTCCAATGCCTCAAACCTTTCAATATTTTCTATCTCATTGAATAAGTTTACTGGAAAAGTGCCTAGTCTGGCACGCCTGTCAAATTTGTATTGGTTTGAACTTCATGACAACAATCTTGGAAATAATGAGGAAGGTGACTTGGATTTCGTCTCTTCTCTAGTTAATTGCACCAATTTAGAAGTTTTAACTATCGGCGTCAATAATTTTGGAGGAGTGCTGCCTGAATCTATCAGCAATCTCTCGACAAAGCTCAGGCTAATATATTTCTCTGGGAATCAGTTACGAGGAAGCATTCCCATCGGGGTTGGAAATCTTATCAACTTGGAGATGCTACGCTTTGATGCAAATTTATTGGCAGGCACTGTACCGAGTTCAATAGGTAAATTGAATAAGCTTTATAACCTATATCTAGGTTCGAATGAATTGTCAGGTAATGTTCCATCATCTCTAGGAAATCTAACTTCATTAAGCAATTTGTATCTCCAATCAAACCAGTTACAAGGCAGCATACCACTTAGTCTCGGAGGCTGCAGGTTTATGTTATATTTGGATCTTTCCCACAACAATCTTAGCGGTCCAATTCCAAAACAAATCATCAATTTACCTGTTTACTTGAATCTATCTGGAAACCAACTTACTGAATCCATTCCCATGGAAGTAGGTAACTTACAACATCTTGTTTTCTTGGATGTTTCTGAAAACAAGTTATCTGGTGAGATTCCACAAAGCTTAGGGAGTTGCACAAGTTTGACGACTCTGTCTTTGAGAGAAAATTTATTGCAGGGGACAATTCCTAAATCCTTGAGCTCTTTGAGAGGAATTGAAGATTTTGACCTCTCTCGCAACAACTTGTCTGGCATAATTCCCAACTACTTGGGGAGTTTCCTCTTCTTGCAAAATTTGAACCTTTCATTTAACGATTTTGAAGGTGCAGTACCAATCCAAGGAGTTTTTAAGAATGCAAGTGCGGTATCCGTTGTGGGAAACACACGGCTTTGTGGAGGTATACCTCACTTAAGATTGCCTAAATGCATCTCCAAGCAATCTAAGCACGGGCTATCTCCTAAGCTGAGCTTAATTATCTCAGTTTCCTGTGGGGTTGTCGGCTTGGTCTTAGTGTTGTTACTTGCGCTTCTTTATCGATCAAGAAAAGCTAGAGCGCTTAAGTCAACTTCAGGATCATCACTGGGGGTTTCACTCTTGAAACTGTCCTATGGAGATCTCCTCAAAGCAACTGATGGGTTCTCTGCTTCAAATCTTATTGGTGCTGGAAGTTTCGGGTCGGTGTACAAGGGAATTCTCAATCAGCATGAAGAAAGAAATGTTGCGGTGAAAGTACTCAATTTTCAAACTTCAAGAGCTTCTAGAAGTTTCATAGCTGAATGTGAAACCTTGAAAAGCATTAAGCACCGAAATCTTGTCAAGCTACTGACTACTTGTTCAAGCATTGATTTTCAAGGAAACGATTTCAAAGCTTTGGTGTATGAGTTCATGGTGAATGGAAGCCTAGATGAGTGGCTGCACATATCAGCTCAAGGAGTAGATAGGCCAGCCAATCTGCCAAAGAATCTGAATCTCACTCAAAGAGTTAACATTGCCATCGATGTAGCGTGTGCTCTGGATTATTTGCACAACTGCTCCCACATGCCAATAGTTCATTGTGATATAAAGCCTAGCAACATTTTGTTAGACAGTGACATGACTGCTTGTGTTGGTGATTTCGGTTTAGCAAGGTACCTCCGAGATGCTTCTTGCCCATCACCTTTGCATGATAGCAGTTCCAATGTCATAAAAGGCACCATAGGCTATACTCCCCCAGGTAAATTTTCTTTTGTATATATTTTATTTGTGCTTGCACTATGGTTTTGTATATAGCATGATTTTTTTGAAGTCACACATAAGAACAAAGCTATGTTTTTGTGCATATAACTTAAGAGTATGGAATGGGGGGCGAGGTGTCAACATATGGCGACGTGTATAGCTACGGAATACTATTGTTGGAGATGTTAACTGGCAAGAGGCCGACAGATGACATGTTTAACGGTGGTATGGACCTGCATAGTTTTGTTAAGATGGCTCTACCAGAGCGTGTCAAAGAAATATGTGATCCACTATTTGTTCAAATAGAAGAAGGCAGAAGCAGTACTGATCCTAGAAGTAATAGGGGGAATCATGCCCCAAATGATCGAAGAAAAAGGGTTGTGGAGTGCTTGACTTCCATTGCAAGAGTAGGAGTTGCTTGTTCTGTAGCGATGCCGAGAAAGCGAAAAGACATGGGCAATGTGGTAGCTGAATTGAGTCTAATAAGGGATGTGCTAACTGGAACTAGGATGCCTAGAGAGTATTCGTGATGACGATCCAAGTAGTGAGTAATAATACTCTGTTATCGTTAAATAAAATCCCATGACAATGCTTGAACTTTGCATGGTGATCTTCTGAATGATGACGAGGTGGATTTTCCCGTTTTGCAATTTCATTTTGTATGTTTAGTAAATGATCTTAATTTGTAAGATCATCTTTATGTTTGCTTGGAAATTTCCGTAAATTATTCTGTTAGTTTGTATGTAGGACCCACAAATCTAAATTCGATAAAATCAAATCCAAATTAAATTTAAATTTGAAGAAAATAACCAACTAGAGAGAATGAAAAGTGAGTTCAGGAGGCCAAGTACTTTAATGGTGTCATGGTGCCTTCTTTTTCTTTTTGAGCTTACCCTGATGAAGACGATGATGCCTGGTTTCTCACTCGAGGCCCCGCCAAATTTAAGGACAACACTTCCTGACAGACCACTTTCAGCCACTAGAGGTAGGCCTGGAGCACCCAGTTCTCGATCATCTTCCGTTGAGCCTGGTCCTAATGTAAGACCAAGACGGCAATCATGCTCTCCTTCAAGAGGACGGGCTCCCAATGGCATTAGTCATGCTAGTGGGAGCTCCGTTCCTGCATTCAGTCGTGGACATTCTAAAGTTAATGACAATGTGAGCCCTGTTTTAATGGGAACAAAAATGGTCGAGAGGGTAATAAATATGCGCAAACTGGCACCACCGAAGCAAGAGGACAAACATTCTCCTCATGGTAACCACTCCGGGAAGTCAGCTTCATCCCCAGACAGCTCAGGCTTTGGTAGATCACTTTCAAAGAAATCCCTTGATATGGCTATACGCCACATGGTAAGCATATCTTTCCATTTTATGAGTCGGTGTACATTCCCATGCGAATTGAGACTAGAATGCCTGTTCGTTGCAAAGTTGTGCATGCTATTTCTGTGGAAGTATCTCATATTCTCTGTTGTAGAAGACAGCTTTCCCTCATTCCCTCCCAGTGTGCTTGATAAGCAGTCAAAATTTACTTTTAATCTAGAGAAAATATTTGATACAAGTTTGTTGTACATAATTTTTTCTTGATTCGGTGTTGGTTGCAGGATATAAGGCGATCCATTCCAGGTAATTTAAGACCGTTGATGACAAATATTCCTGCATCCTCCATGTATAGTGTGAGATCGGGGCCTGCACGAAGCAGAACAATTAGTGTTTCAGATTCTCCTCTTGCCACTAGCAGTAATGCTAGCTCCGAAGTTAGCGTAAACAACAATGGCCTTTGTTTAGACGGGAGTGAAGTAGAAGATAATGGCAGTGAGAGAGGTGGTCGATCTCCTGCCAGTGTGCGCGGTAGGTAATGTTTTGGGGGAGCTGCCATCATTCCACATAAACTGCATCTCTAATCTACCACATGATTTTTTCATCTTCGGTTTCAACCATCTTGACAGTCAAAAAGAAAACCAATTTTCTGAGACCCCTGACTGGAATTGTGCCTCTGTGCTTCACTTAAAGTGTACCGAAATGCTGGTGGTGTTGTAATTCATGATATTTGTAATGTTAAGAAATCTGGTTATGTACCAAACAGCCTTTCGTGGCTCGCTTTCTACGGACACTTTGTTGAAAAACCAGAGATCATATTAGCCTCTCATCTTTGGCAAGTTGAATGTGTACTTCTGGGAGCACCGTGAAAGCTGCTGTACTAATACCATGGGCTGTGTTGCCGGTGTTTTCAAGAGCTTTGCTCACCTGCACATGTTTTTTTTTTTAATGAGTCAACGGTTGAGATTTTGATTAGGTAGATCTTCTCCGTTCACTAATGAAAAAGGAGACTGCATTTAGAACTAAATTATAAGACTGTTTTAGAAAGAGAGTTTTCTTCCTCCTCCGCTAAACCTTATTCATATATATATAATTTTTTTATCTTTATAATCAACCTATACTACAGGTTAATTTATTTATTTACCTATATGATAAGATTTTTTTTTATAATCATGTATCACAAATTAATGTGTTTTTGTACCTTTTAGTTAGGTTTCACATGTTATGGCAGAGCCATCAAGACAAAGTTGTGTAGGTTCATACTATCTTTAAACATGTTATCCGTCGGCCTCTTGCATGTTAACATCTCCAACAATAGGATTCCGAGGCTATACGATGACCAGTGGCAAAATCAATCAATGACAATTGGAGTTCGCCGTCGCCGATCTAGGCGGATTGTAGCGTGAGCTAGAGGGAGAGGGACAATTGAAGTTTCTGCATCATTTGGAGAAACACGACTTTTACGTTTTGAGGCTCTAAGGTTATCTGAACGTGCAACGTCGTTTGATCCTCTACTAAGTACTCAAGTATTATCCTTTAAGGCTGTTACTGTTATGACGCCTAAAGGTCTTGAAGGTTCGTCATTCCAAAAGTTCAAAGCCATTTCATAGTATCATGATTGAGGTAGGTGGATAAAAAAAAAAGACTTAAAATGATTATTTCAACCATTAGATGAAAATTTAATCCAATTTAAATGATTAGTTCAACCATTAGATGAAAATTTGACGTAAAATATAAGAGTTTAACATGTATTTTCTGAAACACTAAAAAAAAACAATAATTATAATAAAATTTGGAGAGGCCCTAGTTCCCTTCCGACTCACATTTGTACATATGAAACACAAAATCTAACGGAATATACCCATCAGGAAATGTTCAACTAAAGAAGAAAAACTCCACAATGTTGTAATGGAAGTACATGGTTTCTGGTTTCTACAAAATAAGCCTAACAAAGAACGCCAGGCAAATTACGAAGCAGCTACTACAGGCTCGGGGGTAGCCGCCACAACTGCAGCCTTGGGGGGAGCAGAAGTACTCGGTTTTGCATCCTTGGTGGGAGCTGGGGCTGGAGGTGAAGGCTTAAGGTGGGGAGGTGTATTATGCTTCAATTTTAAAAGTACCTGCCTCATCCTTGAAAGCTCGGTTGGCTTTCCAGGCTTTGGACCTTGGACAACGAGAATGGATGGCTTCTTTTCCGTATCCTTCTTCCCTCTCTTCTTCTCTATTGCTGGCACCTCATTGGGGATGAGGTCCGCAATTGCCTTCCAGTAGTTCTTGTCTACCTCAGCATGAAACTTCTCTTGATTAGCCAGGAACAGCTGAGAAAAGCCAAAATACAAGTTCAAAACAATATGGCAGAGAGATTGATATGGATATTAAAGGCAAAGAAACTGTAATGTTGTGACAAAGTTCAATTCCAAATCGTTAGCTAAAAAGACATTCAGAAAACCATTAACACGACCAACATTAGTAGTATTTGTTTTACGAAGAAGCCTAATAGGGACACATTGTAGCTAAGATTTACGTAGAGAATCCTACACAGTTGTGACCATCACTTAGTTGAACTCACAAAAGTCCAATCCACAGCAAAGAGAATAAAAGTTACGATTTATGAATAACCAAGCTGAGTGGATGTGGGGAGATACGTGACAACAATTTGTGGCTCTTCTTCAAAGCTTATTTCGATCAACTATTCAATTATTGAATGAATCAGCAATCCAAGAACAAAACTATAAGCATCAGCCCAAAGAATCATCATTTGCATTCCAACCAAAAACTTAAAATTGAGGCAGTAAAGTCTGAAATCGACATTACTAGAAGAGCTCATTGAAACAAAATATTGTGCCATGCCCATCATAATTTTTTGGAAAGCTAATTTGATCAAACCTTCTCCCTTTCCCTGTTCGCAGCCTTGTTATTTTCAGTAGTGATCTTCCTCTTCTGGTAGAATCCCACCTTGAATTCATCTGCTTCCTCAATTATTTGAACCAACAACTCCTTTTCTCTCTTCTCCTTCTCCTCGAGATGAATTGCATTCTGCCTGAATGTCACAAAAGCTCGGATTATTATAACTCCCTTACAACCTCACATAATTCAACCATTTATTTCTTCCACCACCTTCAATGCAAACATAAAATCACTTTCTGATAGTCAATAACTACAATTTGACAACAATCACAAATTTTTTTCGATTCGAATTCAGCTCCGCAATCTTATACGAACAATCGGCACGTTAAATTCATAAAGATTCGATATCAGAAAGACGATTACTGATGACCACGCATGCAATTCTTGAAAATTACTGAAATCAAAACTAAACAACAACTTCCACTCAATTTCTCAGCAACAGAAAGATCACGCCAAATCAAAACCAACAACTTTCAACTAATTTGCACAAAAGAGTCAAAATTTAATTGCTACCTCCTCCATTCTCTGAGAGCGAAGCCCTCCTCAGGCAGCATCTCCGACGGAGGCGGCAAAATGGGATCGTCGGACCCGCCAAACCCTCCATCAAAGCCCTGGCCGTTCGATTCGGCGTAGATCGACGGAGGAGAGAAGGCCTCCGACGCCGGCTGAGTAGCGAAAGCGTCGTCTGCGGCGGAGCCGTGGAAGATTGGGGAATCGGTGGCGGAGTCCTTGAGCGACTCGGAGTCGACGAAGGAGTCGAATCGCTGGGAGGAGAGTCGGGGGTCGTAGCCCAGGTAGCCGTCGTCGTCGAACGGGCGAGTTGACACGGTGGCCGGGACTGAGTCGTCTTTGGGCTGAGTGAACGAGGCCATGATTAGTCAAGTGCACTGATGAGCGAGCGAGCGAATGCTTAATGCTCCAAAGGCAAAAACTCACGGAGGAAAAATATCGGCACGCTTTATGTTGGGCTAGGCCGACTCACTGGGCCTTCATTTGGTGCCTGACAATATTTAATTTGGATGTTTTTGTGATTTTGGGTTCGTCCCTCAAGGCCGCTTTTGCTCCTCGATTCGGTACCCAGAAGATGAGGTTCTCAAGGTTGGATGTTTCCTCCTCAACTTCTTCCTTCCTGCTCGATTTGGATTGGAACGAAAAAGCTCCAACATGGGATCAATTTCTTCCCCCTCACTGATTATTTATTTCACTATTTCATGCATATTAGTTGTTTCAACGGTGGGTGGTGTTAAAGAAGGAAAGGTCCAGCACGATTCAAGTAACAAATCAATCCAGCAAATATCAAATTAATTGTAACATATTTTCCTATTCTGTTGTATGCTAGCTTAATTGTAGTAGTTAGTTTAGCATCAATTACGTCATAGCTATTGTATATAATCTTATACATTGTGTTGATTACAAGAGAAAGTATTTACTCAAACAAGATTTCATTGATGGTAACATAGCAGAAAGCTCTTGGTGACCTAAAACAACATCCAAATACACAAACCCTAGCCGCTACCCATGGGTGACAGCAAAGAGACGAAATCGAGCTCTAGGTCCATATCTCGGAAGGGACAAAGTATGATCCTAATCATCCATTCTACCTACACCACTCAGACCAACCCGGAGTGTCCCTTGTGACGTAGCCACTAAGTGAGAACAACTATAGCACATGGAGCCTTGCCATGACTATGGCACTGCAAGCCAAGAACAAGATGGGCTTCGTCGATGGCTCTATCAAGAAACCAGCTGAAGGTTCACAGGAAGATATGCAACAATGGGGACGATGCAACGTGTTAGTAAAAACATGGTTGCTCAGTTCCATCTTTAAGGAGATATTAGCCAGCGTGATATATTGTGAACTAGCATCTCAAATTTGGGCAGAACTTAAGGAGCGTTTTTCCCAGGCTAATAGCATGCAACTATTTCACATAAAGAGTGAGATATCCGATTGTGTTCAAGGGACCATGACAGTTGGTTCTTATTTTACCAAGCTCAAGGGACTTTGGGACGAGTGCAACGCTCTTCTTGCCATTCCCGCATGCAATTGCGGGGCCATGAAGAACGTTAGTGACTACATGCAAATTTAGAAAACTATCAAGTTTCTGATGTCATTAAATACGAATTTTGGAGCAGTTAGGGGGCAAATCTTGTTGATGGATCCTTTGCCCACAATCAACAAAGTATACTCTTTAATCCTTCGTTAGGAACGACAGCAAGACGTATCTGCTGGGAATGTACTAATAGAGGCAACGACATTTGCTGCAAAGGGGAGTAACCGCGACCAAGGGAAGGGGACATAAAAAAGAAACCTAAATGCTAAGTGTGAAAAATGCGACAAGACGGGACACAAAACTGAAAAATGTTGTTCTCATCTAAAATGTGATTTTTGTGGTTGGACGGGTCATACAATTGACTACTGCCGCAAATACAAGAAAGTTTGTGAGGATGAGCAACGCAACAACAACACACGAAGAGATACTTCCAGAGGTACAATGTCTTCTCTTCTGCCTCGGACAAACTAGAACCGTCTAGCTCATTCCCGTTCACTCTGGAGCAATGCAAACAAATCCTAAGCATGCTGAACACCAACAAATCAAATGCAATGGCACATAATGTTGGTAATTCTACAACCTTTAGTGACTTGTCACGTAAAGCATTTTGTTTTTCTTCACATGGAAAAATGATGTCTTGGATATTTGATAGTGGTGCTACCCACTACATGATTTGTTCACATACCTTGTTAACTTCTTGCATACCTGTCCATAATAGAATTGTACAACTCCCAAATGGGTCTTATGCCAAAGTTACACATGTTGGGAAATGGTCTTTTCAACCCAATTGATTCTTACAGATGTTCTTTGCCTCCTATCCTTTAGTCTGAATCTCATTTCAATAAGCAAACCCACACTCACTTCCTTTTGTATAACCATCTTCCTTCATCGTTATTCTGTCATACAAGACCTACGTTCGGGGAAGGTGATTGGGACGGGAACTGAGAAGGAAGGACTTTACTACCTTGATAATTACAAGCCTGCAACCTACCATGTCATCCAAACATCATCTCCTGCTTCTTGGCATCAACGCCTTGGTCACCCCTCGCATAAAGTTTTACGTTTTCTTCCAAATTTTGTTAGTTCAATCAAGCCTTGTGATGCTAGTGATTGCCTTGTTTGTCCACTGGCAAAGAAAACAAGAACTCCTTTTCCTTTAAGCTCAATTTCCACCGTTAAACCTTTTGAATTATTGCATATGGATTTTTGGGGTGGTTATCACATCCCTTCTTTTTCTGGTGCTCGTTATTTCCTTACAATCGTCAACGATTATATTCGTTGCACATGGGTGTATCTCATGCGTCATAAATCTGACACACGCACATTTTTTATGCATTTCATTGCTCTTGTTGAGACACAATATATGTATACTGTTAAAATTATTCGTAGTGACAATGGTCCAGAGTTTAACCTTGACTCTTTTATTCATCAAAGGGAATTTTCCACCAAACAAGTTGTGTTGCAACACCTCAACAGAACGGGGTTGTTGAAAGAAAGCACTGTCATTTGTTGAACGTAGCACGAGCATTACTTTTCCAAGCCAAATTACCTAAACAATTTTGGGGGGTAGCCATTCTAACCGCCGCCTACCTCATCAATCGCACACTTACACCGGTTCTCAACGATAAAACTCCATATGAACTCTTGTTTCGTACTCCACCTCAATACACGTACCTTAGGGTTTTTGGATGTTTGTGTTTTTCCTCCACACACGCACACCGACCTTCCAAATTTGATGTTCGTGCCACTCGCTGCATATTTCTTGGTTATCCACATAGCCAAAAAGGATACAAGGTTTATGACATTGAACTCGGAAAAAATGTTCACATCTCGAGATGTAACTTTTCATGAACATGAATTCCCATATGCTCACATCTTCACTGCCACTGAACCCATTATCCTCATTTCCATGGACATGATGATGATTTTGATCCCACAAATCATACCACTCAAAAAACACAAGCAACAACCACCAATTCCCTTTCATCTTTACCAATGACACCAACCATAATCACTTCACCAATGCCACCTTTTCCAATCATCAGATTACCACCATCTGATCCTATCTCGCCCACATCCGATCCTATATCACCACCACCCAATCCTATCTCACCACTTCCAGAACCAATTCTTTGTTGTTCCACCCGTCCGACACATACACCTTCGCACCTTAATGATTATCAGGTTGATGTTGAGCTCCCTTCTAGTCCCGCATCTGTCTTCAACGTGGTTCGCAAGTCAGGTACATCTCACCTTATTTCTCATTATCTTACATATGACCAATTATCCATTAACCATCGTGCCTTTACTACCTCACTCACCCATGTCAAAGAACCCAAAACATTTTCTCAAGCCATGCAGGATGAACATTGGAGAGCTGCCATGAGATATGAAATCAATGCCCTCCAAGCCAACAAGACTTGGATGCTCCGTTCACTACCACCCAACAAGAAAGCCATTGGGTGCAAATGGGTTTACAAAGTTAAACCCAATCCTGATGGTACTATCGAAAGCTATAAGGCTTGATTGGTGGCGAATGGTTATAGCCAAGTAGAAGGGCTCGACTACCGTGAAACCTTTGCCCATGTTGCCAAGCTAGGTACAGTTCATCTTCTCCTTGCCATTGCTGCTGTCCAAGGGTGGCATTTACACCAACTCGATGTTAATAACGCATTTCTTCATGGTGACCTTCATGAGGATGTATACATGTCACTCCCATTTGATTTTGGACGAAATGGAGAGACTTGAGTGTGCAAATTACACAAATCGTTGTATGGACTTAAGCAAGCATATAGACAATGGTTCTTGAAGTTGTCAACAGCTCTTAAATCTGGTGGTTATCATTAATCACGAACGGATTATTCATTGTTCATCCAAACACGAGGTGCTTCATTCACAGCGCTGCTTGTTTATGTAAATGATATTATCATGGCCGGTAATGATTTGGGTCAAATCGAAGCAACAATGCGCTTCTTATTTGAAAGGTTCAAGCTTAAGGATCTTGGAAAGTTAAAATATTTCTTAGGCTTAGAAGTTGCACGATCAGACAAAGGCATTACAATCTCACAGCGGAAATATGCTCTAGAAATTTTGGAGGATACAGACTTTCTTAGTGCAAAGCCTACGAAATTTCCCATGGAGCCGAATCTCACACTTATGCAAACTGATGGTGCATTACTAAATGATGCCTCTGTGTATAGAAGACTTGTTGAAAGATTAATATACTTGACGATTACGAGACATGACTTGGTGTATGCGATACACAGTCTTAGCTAATTCATAGACAAACCTCGTATTCCACACCTTGCTGCTGCACATAGAGTTCTGCGGTACATCATGTTGAAGATCAAAGATCTGTAAAGAAAACAAGATTCTAGAGAGAGTTTAGACAGAGAAAGAATCTAGAGAGAGATTGAGTTGTTGAAGAATAAATCTCATTAATTCCATACTCAGTACAAGGTGTATGTTATACATAAATACTCACTAATGCTGACTAAGCATTCTAATACAACAAACTCTAACAAACCAAAACTTAACAACTAAGCTAAGTATCTAGGTATTAATCTGATACATTGTGTTCATGATTAGTAGATAGTCATTCAGTATCCTTAACACACCCCCTCAAGCTGAAGGGAGGAGAACAAACTGAAAGCTTGTGACTGAGAGTAGCAAAACGAGATGCAAATAAGGACTTAGTAAAAATATCAGCAATCTGAAAGAGAGTAGGAACATGATGAATGCTGATATGATCGTGAAGAACTTTTTCGCGGATGTAATGGTAATCAATCTCGACATGCTTTGTTCGAGCATGAAAAACAGGGTTTTTAGCTAATGCAATAGCACTTTGATTATCACAAAAAATCACAGGAGGGCGAAGAAGAGGAAAAGAAAGGTCCTGCAAAATTTTACACACACCCAAGTGATCTCAGCAGCAGTATTGGCTAAAGATCGATACTCTGCTTCAGTAGACGATCGTGCCATAGTGGTTTGCTTCTTGGCACTCCAAGAAATCAGATTTGGACCCAAGAAAACACAATAGCCACTAGTAGATCGTCGGTCAACTGGACAACCGGCCCAATCAGCATCAGACCAAGCTGTGAGAAACTGATTGCCTGGTTTAAACCATAAACCGGAGTCAATAGTACCCTTAAGATAGCGTAAGATCCGTTTGACAGCCTGGCGATGAATAGTACGAGGAGCATGCATGTGCTGACACACTTGATTCACTGCAAAAGCCAAATCAGGGCGAGTCCATGTCAAGTACTGAAGAGCACCAACAGTTGATTGATAAAGAGTAGGATCGGAAAGAATAGTGCCAGAATGATCCAACTTGGCGGAACTCACTGGAGTAGAACAAGGTTTGACACCAAGCATATCTATCTTCTTAAGCAAGTCCAAAGCATATTTGGATTGATGAAGAAAAAGACCGGTAGAGGATCTGTGAACCTCAATGCCAAGGAAATAATGAATATCTCCCAAATCTTTGACAAGAAACAAAGATTGCAACTTCGAAATGATGGATTGGCAAACAGTAGGAGAACTCCCAGTGATGATAATATCATCCACATAAACCAGTATAAAAGTAATAGTAGAGTTTTTCTTGATAAAAAGACTAGTATCAGATGAGGAAGAAACAAATCCCAATGAGAGAATAGCACCATAAAATGCTTCATACCAGGCTCGGGGTGCCTGTTTAAGACCATAGAGTGATATTTGCAGTTTACAAACGTGATGAGGATTGGCTGGATCAATAAAAGCAGGTGGTTGCACCATGTAGACGGCCTCTTTGAGGGAACCATGAAGGAAGGCATTACTCACATCCAACTGGTGAATAAACCAACCATATGTAATTTCAATAGAGAGGAGAAGACAAATTGTAGTAGGTTTAGCTACAGGACTGAAAGTCTCAAAGAAATCAAGGCCTTCTTGTTGATGAAATCCCTTGGCCACAAGCCGAGCTTTGTAGCACTCTATATAACCATCAGCTTTATGTTTGAGTTTGAACACTCATTTGCAGCCTACCAAATTATATTGAGGATTAGGAGGAACTAGAACCTAAGTACCGGTGGACTTGAGAGCTTAATACTCAGCCTGCATTGCTGCCAACCAGTTTGCATTCTTAGAAGCTTGGAGGTAGGTGGTTGGAGTGAGAGGAATAACAGTAAGGGAATCAACCGTGGGAGGAAGATGATGTTTAGTTGCAGTGAACACTTTAGGCTTGTGGATTCCGGCCTTAGCCCTTGTAACCATGGTATGAGTATTAACTGGAATAGAAGGTGCTGGAGGTTGATCAATGGATGCAGATTCTGGAGAATGAGCAATGGAGGTAGAGTCTGGAGATGGAGCAATGGATACAGGTTCTGTAGGTTCTGGAGAAGAAGAAGTAGGAACGGGTAAAGGTGTGGAATGAGGAACTGGTATGGTAAAGGAAAAGGAAGGAGCGGATGGTGTAAGAGAGGATAAAGAAGAAGTAGTAGGGGAAGTAGGGAGGTGCTTAAAGGGGAGGGAATTTTCATCAAAGACAACGTGTCGGGAAATGTACAGCTTGTTGGTAACTGGATCGAGGCATCGGTAACCACTGTGATTCAAACTGTAGCCCAAAAATACACAGAGCTTGCTCTTTGTGTCCAGTTTGTGAGAACTATAAGGTTGCAACCAAGGGTAACAAACACAACTAAAGGTCTTCAAGGTGTGATACTTAGGTGCAGCCTTGAACAATAACTCCCAGGGACATGATAAAAACTGAGAAGGTAGTCGATTGATGAGATACACAGCAGTTTGAAAAGCTTCTACCCAAAACTTGGATGGCAAACCACTGTGAGATATCAAAGTCCGACCCATTTCAACAATATGCCTGTGTTTCCTTTCGGTACAACCATTCTGCTGTGGAGTGTGAGGACAACTCAACTGGTGTATAATGCCCTGAGTATTAAGAAATCCTTGTAAAACAGAATTGAGAAACTCACCCCCTGAATCAGATCGTAAGCACTGGATCTTACTGTCAAACCAATTCTGAACTTTCAAAACAAATGTTTTAAGAACAGAACAAACATCAGATTTGAAGTGCAAAGGATATAACCAACTATATTTGGTGAAATCATCAACCAAAACAAGATAGTATTTATAGCCAGTACATGAAGGAGTGGGAGAATGACCCCATACATCAGCATGAATGATATGAAATGGCCTAATGGATGTACAAGGTACAACAGAAAATGGAAGCCTAGAAGCTTTCCCAAATTGACAATCAGAACAAAAGGATTGTTTATGTACTGAACCAGCAACAGGCAGTTGACTTTTATTAACAATCTTATTTAAAACAACACTAGAAGGATGTCCAAGCCTTCTGTGCCATATATTGATGTCAGCTTGAGCAATCATAAGAGCATGAGGAGAAACAGCAATCCCAGATATGCCATTAGATGCATTCTAATAGAAAGGATAGAGACCCCCTTCACTGGGGCCCTGGAAAAGCATCATCCGAGTGCGTAGGTCCTTGACATAGAATCCAAATGGATCAAATGTCAGAGAACACCAATTATCATGAACAAATCGATATACGGAGAGCAAGTTATGAGATGCTTGAGGAACTAAAAAAGAACATCATGTAGTTTAAAACACAGCATTAGCAGTTCGAATAAGAGCAGATCCAGTGTGAGAAATGAAGAGACCTTTACCATCACCAACAAATAGTTGGTCAGTGCCAGTGTATGGAATGACTGAGTTGAGAGAAGCAGGGTCGGGAGTCACATGATGGGAAACACCACTATCAGTAAGCCAGTAGCTTGGAGAAGGGGAACCAGTCATGGCAAACATACCGACAAGAGGATTAGTGAAACCTGGAGATTGCTGAGAAGCAAATTGAGAAAGACGGCCACAAGAAAGGGCACCATGACCATACTGATTACACAATTGACAAGGAAGAGAACGTCCAGAGGAAAAGGATGAGGAACTCGCTTGATAGTGTTTAGGAATAAAACCAGAGGATGAAGGTCGATTCGGATTCGGAGCAGAACCAAGAACACCACCAAAAATGCGATTAGGACCAAAATTACGATTCTGACCAAAGTTACGAGGCTGATGAGAACGATTCCGATTCTGAAACTTTCCTCTAGAATTTCCTCGAAAAGAATTGGAACCAGATGAATGTTGTTGTGCTGTATAAGCATGAAAATGTGCTGAAGAGGAAGAAAAAGATCGAGTCTTACGCTTCTGGAGCGAGATTTCTTTACTGAGGAGAAGCCCGTGAAGTTCATCAGTAGTCACATCTTCATATCGCGTCTCAATGGAATCAACAAATGATTCATACTCATCAGGCAGGCCAGAAAGAATATAAGCGACAAGATCATTCTCAGAGATCGGCTCACCAGCAGTAGCCAGTTTATCGGAGATTTCTTTGATAGAGTTGAAGTAGTCGGTCAGCGAAGAGTCACATTTCTGAATAGTCTGGATCTTGGAGCGAAGACTATGCACATGAGTGCGTGAAGCACCAGCAAAACGACGCTCAAGAGACTGCCAAAGAGATCACGAATCCGCCATCCCAATCGTCAACGGAAGAATATCCTCAGCATGGGTAGAGTTGATCCAAATCGTCAGAATCTGATCACGTTCACACCAAAGTTCATAAGCAGGGTTGAGAATTTGAGATCCAGAAGAATCACGAACAAATTCCGGTGGACATAGATCGTCGCCATTGACGAGACCTAGAAGCTTGAATCGTTTCAGAATAAGAAGAAACAAGCTACGCCAGGTAATATATAATTCTGACGATTGAGTTTAATCGGAATCATGGCAGCAACATTCTGAACCGTAATCGATCCAATCGAAGGATGAAGCAGATTAGACACCTCACCATGAGAAGTAGGACCAGAAGAAGGAGAATCATAGGAAGTCGCCATGAAAGCAGCAAACAATTCGTAGAAAAAGAAAGGGAGAAAGATCTGTTTGGGAAGTAAGAAAATGCACACAAACGGAAGGAAAAGATCGAAGTCGTTAGACAGAGGCGAAGGATACCATGTTGAAGATCAAAGATCTGTAAAGAAAACAAGATTCTAGAGAGAGTTTAGACAGAGAAAGAATCTAGAGAGAGATTGAGTTGTTGAAGAATAAATCTCATTAATTCCACACTCAGTACAAGGTGTATGTTATACATAAATACTCACTAATGCTGACTAAGCATTCTAATACAACAAACTCTAACAAACCAAAACTTAACAACTAAGCTAAGTATCTAGGTATTAATCTGATACATTGTGTTCATGATTAGTAGATAGTCCTTCAGTATCCTTAACACATCAAACAAACATCGAGACAAGGGCTGTTTCTTTTGACCTTTAGCTCACTTCAATTAAGAGCCTTTTGTGATGTTGACTGGGCACGCTACAATGACACTAGAAGATCAGTCACTGGATATTGCATCTTACTTGGTCACTCACCAATTTCTTGGAAGACTAAGAAACAAACCACAATTTCTCGTTCAACAGCGGAAGCCGAGTATCACTCCATGGCATCCACTTGTTGCAAGATCACCTGGTTAAGATACATACTTGTTGATTTAAATGTCAAACAGTTGCAGCCTATTATGCTCCATTGCGACAATCAGGCGGGCCTACATATAGCTTCAAATCCAGTTTTTTCACAAACGAACGAAGCACATCGAAATCGACTGTCACTTAGTTCGTGAAAAGCTCCAAGAAGGAATGATCAAGACTGCTCATGTTCGAACACATCATCAACTAGCAGACTTGTTTACCAAAGCGCTGGGTTCCCCACAATTTACGGTATTACTCAGCAAGTTAGGAGTGATTAATATACACTCTAACTTGAGGGGGAGTGTTAAAGAAGGAAAGGATCAACACGATTCAAGTAACAAATCAATCCAACAGTTATCAAATTAAGTGTAATATATTTTCCTATTCTGTTGTATGCTAGCTTAATTGTAGGAGTTAGTTTAGCATCAATTACGTCATAGCTATTGTATATAACCTTATACATTGTGTTGAATAATATTACAAGAGAAAGTATTTACTCAAACAAGGTTCGGGGATATTATGGTTTTTTGAGGTTTTGATAGGTTTGTCATAAATGGAGGATGTTAATGAAGTTAATGAACATGCTTATCTTTGTAGGCTTGACTTCTGAACATAAAATTGTGGTTTATGATATTCAATCAATGGAAAATGTGACTTTCACAAGCTCCAAGCCTCTGTCAATTATAGAGATCTCAATATGTATCTAAAATTTACTTAAGGCACTGGTGGAAAAATGTATTTAACGTTTTACGTTCATATGCGTGGGCTCGACTTCTAAAAACGCATCCTGCAAAGCTATGCTTCACAAGTTTACAAGGCCTGTCAAGTGCAACACATTCATTTGTGTAGTATAATTGTATTCGATAAGGATAATACTATCACTGCACCTTATTCCTCGACACCTTGGCCTTCTTCAGTATTTGTTGGAGCATTGGAAATCAGTTTTCCGACTCGATATCATGGTGTTCAGTAATTCGGCTGGTAATTTTTGGCATAATCCATTTGAAAATTTTAGTTGTTTTTGTTGTTGGTTATATTTATTTGTTAAAGTAATGATTTTGGTTTCATGGTCAGGGCTTTATGAGTATGATCATGATGCGTCAAAAGCTAGGGAGCTTGAAGTGGCAATTAGAATTAAAGTGATAATACATAATAAGTGTTTGGTTTTTGTTTTTGTTTTTTTTAAATTTCCGCCGCAAAGTTTTTGAATTTCTCATTTTTCAGACACCAAATTCCATTTGA